AAGATATCAGAATGGTATCAAATTATCTCCGTTTCGCAACTGTCCGGTCATGGGGGTGGGGCAACAGTTGAATTTCATTTCTAATGTGTTTGAATTTTGCATGGCATACCATGTGTCAATGGTCATGGAAATTTATGAAGACAAATTTATTTTTAATTTTAATTTTTTTTTTTTTTTTTTTTTTTTTTATTATTAAAAATTCTATTTAAAATTGTTTCGTTCAAACTGATTTACAGCGAAAGGAAAAACGAACATTTTTCTTATTATATTTTTTGCCTTCATTATAGAATTTGTGGAATCATTTTTTTTTTTTTTTTTTTTTTATGTAAATAAATTACCTTTCATTAGTTGTTGTTCTTTTGTTATGCGGTTGTTGTTGTTTTGTTATTTTTTAAATTATTCAATATACAAAAAATATTCAGCATAAGATGCATAGTTTCATACACTTTTGTTTTTTTTGTTTTTTATTATTTAAAAAAAAATAAACAATTTTTTTTTTTTTTTTAATTTTAACATATTTTCATGTACATTTTTTGGTTTTATCTCATTTTTTAATTATATTAATAACACGTTTATCCTCTTGTAGTCTCTGCGGTTTTTTAATACATTATAAAATATAATGAAAAACAACATTCGCAACTTTCCTCCATAGCCTTTGTAATACCAAACAAACAACACATGTACTCGTACATAAGGTTACATATTTACACATATCTATAAACTTTTATATATATATGTATATTTTTGTTTTAAGTATATATATATATATATATAGATGTGTATATTACTTATTACTTTATGTATTGTACACACATAATTCCACCGTAAAGTGTCATAAAATTACGGGAGAAAAGCAGGAAAAAAAAAAGAAAAAATAAAGAAAAAAAAAAAAAACAAACCAAAACAAAAAACACAAAATGATAATAAAATAAAAACACAAACAAATACTACAACAGCTTTTTTAATATTAACGGTCATTATAGTTGGTCTCGCATCCATTTTATAATAACATATGAGATTTTCTTGTCTATACAACGTAGAGTACACAAACAGGTAATCAGGAGTATGTTGGGCGCATAAATCCACTAAACGAATATAAATAAACTCAAATGTGTGAATCCATTTCTATATTTTGTATGATCTGCCCTGCATTGGCATTAGATATGCGAAAATAATCATTTTTATGTTTCGGATTCGGATATAATTCTACTTTTGAAATATGGGACCTCCTCACCTCACTACATGTAGAGTAATAAAGATTTACTGTTGTTATGCCCTGCACCACATATGTGCTACAAGTGTTTATTATATATGTGTGGATGCGTGCAACACCCGCAAAGACTTGGGATAGATCCATTTTTTATTGTACCTATCTAAGATTGTCTGTCCGTCTGTCCGTCTTTGGTGTTCAACCTACCGATCACAATTTTCGAGATATTATGATTAAATTTATTACACCGATATCTTTTGGCTCAAGTATGCACGCTATTGAAAATGGTTCGGATTGGAACACTTGGTCGATGAGTTCACATACAACGGCTTACTTCTTATATAAGAAACTGTGTTAAGCAAAGTATTTATGGGGTATTTAATGGTGGGCCGTGCCCGACTGTAGTCTTTATACTGGTTGGGCAGCTAAATATTATGGCAAATATTAACACATTGCACTCTTAGGTCGACTATGTGTCGACAATGCATATCTTACATCAGTTCCTATGTCGCCCCAGAGTCGACATTATACTGTTAGATGTCTATGGACGATAACATGAAAATTAAAATGAAAACTTTTATTAGTTCACTTGGTGTTTAATGCTTCCGCCTAACCCTTAATAAATGCATCCATCTCTTTTCGAAAACTTGACTTGAGAGACTCGTTGAGAGAGAGAGAGAGTGAGTTGATTTATTCGCGACAGTGTTTAAACGAATTGTTTATGGAATCGTGCATTAGTCGAACTTGTTGTCTATGATGGTCAAATGTCGCACAGACACAAGATCAGAAGTCCCAAAATCATTTTGAAGCCTTTGCTGGTTGAAGATCTTTATTAGCAATACCTTTCGTTTACCTTCTAATGGCAAAATCAATTGTAATTTTCGCTATAACAATGTGGCTTTATAATTGTTACAATTGTGTTCATAAATTTAAATGATATCAATATTTAGTATAAGAATGGAATAAATTAAGTTTTCATTTGCTTTTTTAATGAAGGTTTAACAACCAAATCTGCTCCATTGTCTCAGTTATTGTTTCTCTTATCAGCTGCCAGAGTACAATGAAGACAAAGAAAATTAGCTCACGAATTTGCCTAACTTATACAAATATAATTATAGATTATGAAAGTCAGTGATTCCGACACTTAACCACTGTTTAACCACTGATTGCAAAATAAAGATATTTTTCGACATAATCTGAATATTACATAACATTATGATGAAAATAACGCTTGTTACGGTCCTATATTCTATGCTGCATCGAAATTCTCCATAAAGAAAATTTAGTTTAATCCGTTTAAAATTTCGAATAATGTTTAAATTCCTTATTTGCCCGGATGTGCGTATAAAGATCCTTCAGAAACCCTGATTAATGTTTAAAGGTTAAATTGAGATAAAAGTGTAAAACTATTAGGTCACTCCATACATAATGCGGTCCGTTAAACATATATTCGTTTATCACAGTGAAAATGTGTTTTCGTTTCGAAGCATTTTTTGTAAAAATCATTCTCCCACGAGTAGCAATGTCTAGTAAATCAAAGCGGATAAGGGCTAGAATACTATAGAGCTTTGATTTCCGTACAAATTTATTTAGTACTATGAAAGTGACTCAGGTTGCGAACATAGGTTATAGCGGCTCTAATAAAGGGCGTCTCTAATGCTGACTTAAGCCGTCCACGGTAAGATTTCCTTCGTATTGTTTGGTTTACTTTAACAATTCACAGCGATTTATATCTTACCAAACGGATAAGTAAGCCGTTCAAGCGTGCAATTTTCCTTCGCATAGATTACCTGTCTTCTACTTTATCTGTTACACATACTTGCGGTATATGGTGTATTAAGTTTGTGGAGATGTACTGAATGTAACATCCAAAAAGAACTTGAAATAAATCTACATTCTAATATATCGATCGATTCAGAATCATATTCTATATTGATTTTTAGTTTCTCGTCGTCTGTCTTTTTTGAGGTCTATTCATGTATTTGTGTTATGTTCACATACGGATTGGAATTTCTGACAGAAAATGGTTTGAACATGGACACTCCCCATAAGAAGCTTTAAGATTTTTTTATGAAAGAAAATATTGCATTTCTCGAATATTCCCAACCGATATCGCCGCATTGTATTAACCGATGCGAAAAATGAGGTTCGATTAGTTAAATTTTCTGAAACGCTTCTCCGCGTAATCACTGCCACGGAAGGTAACCCTTCATATGGTAAAACAATGGAGTTTTTAATACGTTACAATGGAAGTTAACGCATGACATTAGTTTAACATTAAAGTTAAATGCAACGAAATGCGATTAATCGTTGTAGTTAGGGAACAGGTTCCTAACCAAAAGCATACAATGACGAGTAAACATGAATTTAGTTATTTTTTCTCTGTTGTCTGTGCATGCCTGGCTTGTATTCCTATTTTTGTTTTTGATAGGAAGACCGTTAACATAATTTTCTGATTTTAAAGATAACCAGCACTTAGGCTCGTGAACTTCCGGTTTCCCCTCAATTCCGGTAATTGATTGATTTCATCGGCATTGTGACTTTAAAGATAACCTGAACTTAGGTCCGTGAACTTTTGCTTTCCCCGCCAATTCAAGTAATTGATTGATTTCATTGGCATTTAGTTTTTATTTTTAACAAGTTTAAATGAAAAAAAAAAATGGAAATCGAAAATCGAAAAACGATAGAAAATCGATAGAAGATAGTTTCAAATAAATCTCAACCTGTCAATGCCAATTAATCTACAGATTCCTTCAAGAAAAATCGTCAACATCTATCCATCGTAGAGGATCGATTAGGAGAAAAAAGATGGGAAAAATGGTTTATTCGTAAAAACTGTATGCGAAGATCTCATCTCGATACGCTCGTAAATAGAACAAGCAATTTAATCTATGAAGTTTTGTACTCCATTAGCAAAAATGCGGACGTTAACGGCAAGCTAGAATTGTTTTTAAATTTAAGGTGCCTTAAAAGCGTTTTGATGCGTATTTCGGCGACTTTTATGTCAAGCCGTTTCGAAAAAAGCGGCACAGGAAAACCACATTGCTTTTGAAATGCCCCAATATTTAAATAAAACCGACAAAAGTCAACATTTTAAACCACAAGTCGTACGCAGACATTTTAATTGAAAAGAATAAAACAAAAAAGCATAAATTTGCATTTAAATTGTTTTAATTAAATTACGCATTTTTATTATAAGATTACTTTAGTATTATACTCTAAAATTAACAAAAAAAAAACAAAAAAAAAAAAATTTTTTTTTGGTGAATAAATCTATAAAAAAGTACATAAATTTACTGAAGCATAAAAACCATAATAAAGCTTTTATAAAATCAGAGGACATTGCCATTAAGCGAGCGATAAGAGGGGAAGCATACAAAAGGAAAGATATATATGTATTTTTTATTTATTTTATTTATTTTTTTTTTTTTTTTTTTAATGTGACAATCACTTAAATTTATGTTATTAGAATCAACAAATACGATATATAAGCCACGGTAACTAATAATATGTGATATTTTCTAATATATATATATATGTTCATATATATATATATATATATATATATATGGGAACAAAAGCTATCGTTGTGTGTCTCGTGTATGGCGAAAAAATGGAGCATAACACAAAGGAAATGTCAGCCGTTTCTGTATTCGTTTATGATAAACTAAAACGAAATATACGAGTATCACTTGTTTTTTTTTTTTTTTTTTTTTTTTTCCTCTGTCAAAATCATACACTTGTCGCAACGATACATAATATTTGACATTATATATAATTAGTTACGTACCTATTAGAGTGAGTTTGAATGTTCATTTCAAGCAGTTGTGATAAATTGGATTTTCATTTGTTTCTCAGCGCATTTGCGTGTTGTTTATTTGAATCAATTTTATTTATTTTTTTTCTTTTTCGCTTGTTGCTTTAAACCGTGGTTGGATTCTGGAAATATATATATAAAAGAAACAAAACAAAAAAAATTAAAATGTGTAAAAATTCATAATACGTTCATAAATTCGACTAAAACAACATCGTTTGATAGCCGTCATGTTCTTATGTCTGTCCCTCAAATGATACATATGAGCCATTTATTTTGAAAGTGAAGCAAGTCCATTTTTCAAAAAAAAAAATAAATAAATAAATAAAAGTATAAAATATATATATATATATATATATTTATATATATGTATGTATATATATAAATAACGATAACGATAATTATACTTAAAACTTAACATAATCTTTTTATGTCTTTAAATTATTTATTATCAAAAAAAGAGAAATCAAGTTCTCTAAAATTTGTTACACGAAAGCCTTAGTTATTAACGGTATTGCAAATATATTTGTTTTGAGAGTTGTCGGGCAACTGGTTAGAAGACGAACGACAAAGACTTGGTTGTATATTTATCCGAAAAACCATACTGCTGATCGGGAATACGATACGAAAGATAGGAGGGAGTAGTGTTTATGAACATTCCTCTTACAAATGGAGACATCAGATACGGTGGGAAAGACCCACTGGTGATGGGTAGGCGAGCAGTATGGTTTTCTTTACATTAATTGCCATCACGGATGAGACTCTCAGCTATTATCTAATAAGTTAATCTCAGGCTCTTTCGTACAATTGAGATTAGATCAAATTAACTGTACATACATAAATTTCTTTGTGAATTTGTCTATGTACATCAAATTGGCAAATTAATTAACTGCATAAAATGCTTGGTTACATTAATTTTTCTTATTTTCATATATATATTTAAGTTTGAATGGCTTCCTTAAAAAGCGCTTTAACTAAAATATTTATTGCTATTTACATAGAAGTACGAATTGCGTTCCGAAATAAATTATTTATTATTCAATGGCTATAACCATTTTGCCATTTGCAGCGGTATCCCGAGCACGGTAACTGAGCCACCGCTGACTGTAATAAGTCTCTAAAAACCAACCGTAAACGTGGTTTTGTTGTTATAGGTCACCAACCATTTTAATTATAACAGACTGTACGAGAGTGCATTGCAATGCTACGAGAGAGAAATTTTTTTAAATTTTATAGAAAATGTCAAAAAAAATTGTGCATAAAAATATAATTTTTGTAGAAAATAAGCAAATATTAAAATAATATACTTTCGGAAAAATCCCATGTTTACTAGGATGAGTCTGTCTGTCGATTTTCGAATAAATCGAATTATAAAAAATCAAAAACATAATGCACATTCATTTGCACAACTTTACTTGTTAGGATAGCTGACGATTGATAACAAGATTGATAACAATTCGCAAAACATTTCCGAGGTGCAAAGAGATTGGGATGAAAATGTCCCAATACAGTAAAGTGTAATGGCAGCTCTTGTTTATGAGCAAGGTGTTAGCGTGAGGCAAAATCAGTGGAGTCAAGAGAGATGAATTGTAAGTTAATCTGAATTGAGCACTAAAATAAATACAAATGAAATAATAATAAAAATGTAAATAAATCCCCAAAGCATTGTAAACAACACCAAGGTTAACCTAAAAATCACAATTGGATTAGAACTGGATTTCAAAAGGAGTTCAAGAGAAAGATAAAATCGCCAAAGGCCAGTTTACTCCAACTTTTGACGCTACGTCTGGTGTTTTTTTTTTTTTTTTTTTCTGCAAGCCTGTTATAGGAGCAAGATTCTCATTCTAGAGTTTCGCTCTCCATTTTGCTTCGAAATACTGAATTTGAGAGAGGAAATGAAAAAATCGCTGCCGCCTAGCAAAGCCAATCACTAATTTCATGACAGATGCCAGAATGCGGCTGCATACAATGTCATATATATATTTATGTTATTAGAGAAATTTTTTGTAAATATATAGACAATTAAAAGTCAATCAAATGCTTTGACATTAAAATTAAAAAAAAAAAAAAAAATTAAGTAAAAAAATTCAGAAAGTGAAGTTAATCGATTTGGCAAAAGAAGCATACATATATATAATAATATATAATGTATACAGGTATATATATATATATATATATATATATAGATAGATAGGTCTTCAATGAGCAATTCTAGGCTTTTCGAACGACACGACAAAGTTCTTTTCAGTAACGTGTGATGGAAAATAACAATAAATAACGGATTACATCAATACTTACTTACTGTGTAGTCAAAAACAAAAACATAAAATGAAACAAAAAATTTTTTAAAGTTCAACAGCAGACATTTGGATAAATTTGTGTTTTTATTCAAGATTTTCGTTTTTCGTCTTCGTTTGCTGCCTTCAATTATTCAAAACACATTATCTTACTTTCGATTGTTGAACAAATTGACTTTTGTTCTTTAAAATGTTTTAACAAATTTAATTATTATTATTATTTAGTTTATTATAATAATAATGATCGTGATGGTCATGATGATGATGATGATAATGATGATATTATTATTATTTGACTTCTATACATAATATATATATATATATATCTATATTATTATTGAGCAAAAGTGCAGCATAAGGCTTTAAGCAATGGGTTGTCAAAAGTTGATAGGCAGAGAACAGAAAACATACCAAAGCATTAACATATTTGGCTTATTTATCTATTGTTTTCCTTTTTTTTCTTGTCCTTTTTGCATTTTACAAAAATCTTTCATTCCTTGATTGGATACAAGTTTTATTAGAAAATTATTTGTATATGTATATGTAGCATGTAATATGTTTGTATAATATTTATTTATGTAGATATATATATATATATATATATATATATATATAATAAACGTATCGATATACTTTAGTAAAGTGCTTAAAACAGGTGCGGATGACACTTGACTGAATATTGTGAGCATTTGCTGGGACAAGCTAGTGAATATATTGTCAATATAATAAATGTAAATGTTTCAAGTAAACAATTTTGGGTATTTTGAAATTTATTATATTGCTTATCATATATTTTATAGATGGCGTAGCGGAATGGTTGGCTGCTTTCAAATCGTCCCGTCACACATATATGTATTTTAATTTGGACCATTCTAAGGTTAATAGAAGATATCGAAGAAGAAATAAATTTATGCCATTGTTTTTTTCGAAAGTATTATAATTTAATTTTTGATAAAAACTTTATTATTGATAACAAAGAATGCAATCTGCTTCATAGTAAAGGTTTGTAAAGGTTTGATAAAGAAAATAATTCTTATTTTTCAATTATTATTATTATTATTATTATTATTAGAATTTATTTATACAAAAAACTAAATTCTAAGGACAAAAAAGTAGAATGAACATTAGCAACTTCTCCTGTTTCTAGAAAGTTGTATAAGATGTTTAATATGTCTCGCTTTAATAAAGTTTAGTGATATGTTTATGTTTGCCAGATACTTTCAAGAAGTCCATCGAGTTAGATGTTCCGAGAACGAGTCTTTGAATATTAGAAAGGTTTCGTCATTCACGAAATATATATTTAATCTTGGCATTTTGTCCACAATCGCAAATTGGAGGAGTAGGATTCAAGGATTCAAGGATTCGTTGCTGCTTTGCAATGAAATGATCAGGTCAAATACTGCAAATATTTCGATCTTGACTTTCTCCACGTTGATTGCGTACACGAGGATAGAACGAAGTTAGGATTAATGTGCGAGTACTTTTCACTTTGTTTTTTTTTTTTTTATTTTTCATAATTTCGTTTTTCATATATTTTTGTATGTATCACACCTTTGAAAGTCAAACTTTTCCATTATCCTATCTATAACTAAAAATTCCGAAGCTAAAGATCTCGCTGGAAGATCATTTCGTTCGTTTCCTAAAAGGCCAATATAACTTGGTCGCCCAAAAATTTATATTGAACAAGCTTTGCGATCTCTCAGGCAACGAACCACAAATCAATTGTCCCGAAGCTAATAACATTTTTTTTAATTGCTTTTTAAACCGCAACAAAAAAAAAAAAAAAAAAAATTGAAATTGAAATTGAAATTGATATTGACGTTAAATTACACAGACAGCTTTTGTAGTAGAACCACTTATCAGGTGTATAAGCGATAGAACTAAGCAAATATGAATTACAATTATAGTATTTTAAGGTCGTACTTAAATGATCACTATACCGTGAGCTTATTTTAATTCACTAATTTCTGGTAATTTGCTTAGCGAATCAAGCGATTTCAAGGGTGGCGGCATTCTCTTGGATTTGCCGAACGGGCTTTGGGTTCCAAGCTACACAATTCTGGGTTTTATTCACTTTATCTCTAAAAATTGTTTACCTAATTCAAAATCATTCAAAATCATGTATAAATATATATATATATATATATATATATAAGCAAAGTATGCTTGACGTAACAATGAAAAGAATTTAATTTAATAAAAACGCACTTACGAGTGCTTGAAAAGGCTTTACAAGCCCTCTGTCACATATAGATGCCAGATCTACTGGCAAACTATCCAAACTGCTTTATTAAGTAAAATATAAAGCTAGCTCTGCGATGACTATTCCCGCATATCGCAAATAGACGATCTATACTTGCTATGCTATGAATTATATTTTTGCATATTTTAGCTCTTTCTATGGGTAGCTAAAAGCCTTTCCATCAAACCATTAAAGCAAATTATTGTTCCAAAAATTTAGTTCTCTATCTAACTGTAAGCCTTAAGTTTGCAGGGAAAGTGTATTGCGAACCGAATGGACTCATGCCGCTTGAGGACATAGATCTGTGATTCGATACGTAATAACAAAAATTATATTCTGCAGCCTTGGTAGGTGGTTGGTAAACAAAATCATGTTTTCTATATATATATATATATTAATATAACTGCGAATAAAGACAATAATTTCTTCCCATACTCGGCTGTTTATAATAAATAAAGAGGTGCATTGTATAATATCTGCAAATTCATTTTTGTTTTACAACTTTGTTAATTATCTGTCTGCTTGCTGCCTGCCTGCCTTGCCTCATTTATTCCCTCTAGTATACTTTTGTTATCAAAACGATTTC